GAATGCTGCGTTAACTATTCTTTATTCTTGTAACTTTTTGATATTCTTGTAAATTTTCAACGTTTTCAATTAAAATTATCTCTTTTAGAAAATCAAATCAGTTAATTATCGTTGCTTTCCGCTAAAAGGAGTACTTTAACGTAGCGTAATTCCACTTAGTTTTATGTACACACAATTTGAAATTGACGATAATTTTCATTATTGCATAAATCAAAATAACTTTCACCTACACCAAAGCGCGTATTTATGTATAAAAACCAAAGTCATGCGCAGATTTTTTTTTTAATAAATTATAGAATGAAATACTGATTGATTGGCTTTGACTGACTCTAACCGAGTGTGCGCTTAACTGATGAATTGGTCACCGTTAGCTGCCGACTTAATTCAATTAGCGCGTGAGCTCATGTGGAACTATGTGAAAAGAAAGGTTTTTCATGTTCAAAATAATTTGACAAATGCTTGAAAACGTTGAATGTGATTAGCTTCAAATGAGTAAAATATTTTGGGGAAATACATACACATGTGCTTACACCGATGTATGCCTTTAAAACGCTAACGGGGATATTAACTAAACAAACGCAAATAAGTGTCCTGGTGAGGAAAGATGACGGTAGATAAACTATATAGTCCACTATGGTATTTCATTGTTAAATTTTATTTGGCCACAAATACACAAAAGAAAACTTCTACCCAACCAAGTCCACAATAAAATTATTTAATGCAAGCAAAAAGAGTAGCTTGAAACACAGTTACAGATATTTTTGGCGTAAAAAAGGGTGCATATGTACCTTTGTGGTTATCTAATTAAGTGGGTGACAGTTTGAACAGCCGCTGGCTATTTTTTTATTTTTTATTTAATTAAAAATTATTTTTTAAGTCTAAGTTATTAGATATATCTATAATAAAAATTAATATTTCATACTTTATACATAAATATTAAAAATTTGGCAAATTATCACCTAAATTTCATTTAATTATAGTGGGATCAAGTATAAGTTTCAAGGTATCGAAATTCATGATCTTAGTAATCCCTACCATAGTAAGGCATGTGTGCCGTAAAAAGCGACGACTCAAACGAATAGGTATAAGTGACGCGAATACCAATGACGCAAAGAAACGAACTTAAACGTCAGCTCGGCAGCAGGTATAAACCGCACACTGGAAGTTGGGTTAAAATGTCAAAATATTGTCCATCACGAACGTAGATATCCCAATCAAGTTGGAAATCGACCCGAAATGGCCAAAGGATCATTTAGAATTTTCAGTTTAAATGAAACCATTTTCATCATATGTGAAACCTTTTTCAAATTAAATTAAACCTTTTTCAGATAAGGCGAAACCTTTTTCAGAATCAATGAAAATGTATTCAAATTAAATGATATTTTTTTCAAATTAAATGAAACATTCTTAAATTAAGTATTAAACATTATTGAGCTAATGGACAGAAAATAAACTTAACCTATTAAGAGCCATTTGTACCATGTCTAGCTAACACTTACCCCTAGTTACACATTGTTATCTACGTTATCGACGCCATGCTTATAACAGAAAGTCGATAACGCCGATATGGTGTCTTGCTCGGAGAAAGTGTTAACCAAACGTGATGCAAGCGGCTCTAAGTCATAGTTTATAAAATGAATGAAGAGCTTGTCCATTCGCGGCTTTCGGAATTCGGATGATCACGTCCATAACATAACGCCAGAAAGCCCAGGCACAATGGAAGCATAACTTTGAAAAAAAATAACAAGAAGCATTTAAAGTAAAACCTAGAAGAAGACTTGGTTAAGGCAGAAACTTTAGCACGCCTAATGTATTTACAGGTTATCTTCGTGAGTTTCAAAAGGAAATATGGGAGACAACCTAATTAGCAGTCGAGAGAAAGATTAGCGCTAAATTTGGTATCAGTGCAAACAATAGCAAAACAGGTGCCAACAGGTCCAACCATGCAGGTGGATGCAACCTTGGATCCTTGGGGTCAAAATAAAACAAACACGCACATAAGAAGCTGATGAAGAGCAAGAGCAGGATGTCAAACTATTACGGAATTCGCTCTCCAAAAGTATATAAATATTTGGTGCTCACACATTTCGCCTAAAGGTTTGGTAGAGGGTCCCTACCCACAATTTAACACCTTATCCGAGCGGCAGACACTTCTTTGTACACTGAGAGAAAAATCAACCAAAAATTGGTTAATAATACCAAATTCAAACTTGAAAAGGAATCAACGTAATTTTAGGTTTATATTAATAACGCCTTGGTTGATATTTTCAACATCGATTTGGTAATATTAACCACAACTTTGTTACATTATCCAAATTTTTGGTTGTCGATTTTTCATTTGAATACGTTTATGTGCGGCACTTCACAGGTGCTTTTTCATAATACGGAGATACAAAACAAAAATTTGTATTATCATATTAACATGTTGCCTCTGGCGGGATCAGCAAATAACAACAAGCCTCTTTACACACTCAGCTACAGCCGCATTATAAATGTGTCTTTAAATGTTCAAGTTGAATCAATTTTCTTCGTCGCTTGATTCGGTTCTGCACTTCACAGAGGCTTTTTCGTAATTAAGAAAAACCAAAAATAGAAAAAAATAGAAATTATGTATTGCGCTGACGGAGTTCGTACTGCTGGAATCCAACAAATAACAGCAAGCACCTCTGCTCGTTCAGCCACTGCCATACGTATGAATTTATTCTTAATTAATCAACCTGAATCATATTTCTTATAATCGGCTTATTGACTATAAAAAATCAAACCATAACTTGGCTGAAAAACCATTGTGCTTATGGTTCAATGTAGCTTGTAGTAATTTCTTAGAAACCCCATTAAGAAGTAAAAATAAAACACCACCGTTTTCAGATAGAGGCAGAGACTAAGGAAGTTTAGGTTTTTATACCATTTTCTTTTGTCAGAACTGCTATTGAAATTGTACTACTAAACTCCCAAATACGTCAATAATCCATTTGTTGAGGTGCGGTCTGACCACAGCACCCTATGCAGCTAGGTAAGGGTTTCATTTTCTTCTTCTAATTAATTTTATTTTTTAGTGCTGCTGATAGCACTGAACCTTCTTTTACTATCGATTTCGTCGGTATGTGTAGAACTTGAGGATATTAGTACTTATTTTGCATGATTGTATACATACATAGAGAGTTATGTAATACAGTTTTGTTATTATGGTTTAGTAAATTTTATATTGTATAATCAACAACAACATATTTAGTTGCAAACGGCAGCTTTAGCGAGCAAGTACAACATCACTTTAGTCTCTATATTTTCCTTGTATTGATTCAATTTCACACGGAGTAGACGTAAAAGCAATATTGCTATCAAATTCAATTCTTATACTAAAATTTGTTCTAAATTCCTATAAATATGTGTCTGCATGTCAGAGAGCACACGTGAGCTCCATACGACTACCATTTCAATCTGTGCTTTTTCCTACTCATACCTTACCTTTTGCCTATTACACATTCTACATATAAATTTTTCCATGGCTTGCCAGTTCATTGACTTTGATTGTGAGCACATGTTTACAAGCATCAACTTACATACACATGTGCACGTACATAAGAACTTTCTTTGTTAGCCTGAGAAATGCCGTACCTAGACGCCCAAGTGTTTGCAATTATCGCCAGCTAAAGTGCAGCTAAAGCAACGCTGACAGGTGCTGAAAAGCAATTTAATTTATTGGAAAAACATGGTGAATAACTATTTGGAGGTGACCTGTTGCATGGTGTTTTATGTGGATATGTATGTATGTACGTATACACACATATACCTACCTATTTATATGCCCACAATTGTAATGCTTAATTTCTATTGTGGGAAATTGTACTGAAACGTGTTGTGCAAAGTTAAGGTAAAGTTCTGCATAGTCTTTTGAACGCATTTTTTTGTTAAATATGTGAGTAGGCTTATATTTGCAATTTCAATTACACATGCATTAATTTACCTACATACATCCATAGTCCAATAGGCCCCACACTTGAGTGAGTTTTTCCAAAAATTTCATTGTAATATTATTTTGTACAAAAATTCTACTTCACATTTCAATTTTCGCAATAATTTCCAACAATTTGGATCCAATATTTACTGAATGATCGTAGTTTTTACAATTTACGAAAATAAAGTTATGTGAGAAGGGGGCGTAGTTGGCTAGCATGGCAGTAGCGTATTCTTTTAACTTAGTTTTGTCTAACTTTGCTGACGCTTTCTGGATCCATCTATCTCACGAATGGCATGCTCGATGTTCGCCACAAGGGAGAGACAGTTTTGGTTGTTAACATAGTCACATAGTTAAAAATGCACGTCATATGATTTTTCGAGCAAAATCTTTTATATTTCTTAACTTTGTTCAAGCTGACTTTCTGCCAAAACTTCAGTAGGAAAGAGGTGTTGCTGTCAAAATAACATACATATTCAACAAAACCCTATACCAAAAACCTTTATGGACCACCCGAATTTTTGTGTACACAGATTTCTGGGCCATTTATATCCTATCTTTTCCCGTGGGCCACGAATAGATTTTACAATTCTAATGACTTCTGTCCGAAAACTATTGAATAGGTCAGAGTTCTTTGGCTATTTTGCAAGTCCTCCAAACTGGCTCCTTTCCTCGGCAATTCACCTACCTCATTGTCTTCCATTTTCCTATGGCGGGAAACCCAGACAAGAAAGACACTATTAACGTAGAGACTGGGCACAAGCTGGTATTTGGTGATACGTTATGCTAATGCCTGTCATAGTATACTATTTTTATCTCTATACGTACTTCCGATGCTTCTTGCTGTAATCGGCTGCAAAAGTGAAAAGTTGCTAAGTCTATTTTTACAAATTTTACATGAGAGAAAAACAAATTCTTATATCCATCCTTTTCAAGTATTTTGCAACAAAAAGCAGAAATCCATACGAATCAGAAGGACTCGGTGTTAATTAAAAGATTTCTTTCCGAGTTTTCCGATATTTTACTATCAATTAATTAGTATTACCTTTAAAAATATGCACTAACACGCTTGCAGGTTGTGTATTGCTAGCCACACAAGTGAAATTTCCCGAATGCTCACGCCGTGTTCGTTGAATTGTTAGCTCTGATGATTGGAAATCTGCGATAAATAGAAAATAGTTTTGAAAAAGTTTACTTAATAAATTTAACAAAGGAAAGGATTTATAATTTTTTTTTTGTATTAAATATAAATACACTCAACAATTTTGAAATCTGAGCTTGATGCTGTTTCCAATCAAAAACGTTTGTGGGAAAAGAACAATAATTTACACAAAAGTTTTTCATTGGAAACGGCCAATAAAATTGTTGAATATAATTGATATAAATAAGGCCATAAATAACAAAAAACAATAAATAAATAAATAAAAAATCCAGGCTCGATTCCCGGTTATTTTATTAAACATTTTTAAAGCACACCTACAATAAACTTTATGTTGGTTTGGTAAGTAACTATTGTTTTCGATTATTGTGAAATTCACATTTTTAAGTTAACACAAAATACTTGTATGTGCACAACGCCATGTGCCATTAGCTAGAAGTGCAAATTTGTATTTAATTTTCATTGATTTCCTATTAAAATGCGCTGCATTTGCAAGCGCGTTGAAGTCAAACGGAAATGCTAATTACGCAATGATATGGCAACCATAGCTACTACTACATTAGCGTAATTATTTATTTTTAGTTTAAAAAGCTTGTCTAAAAGGCCAGAAATTTACAAGACTTCGCTGTTTTCAGTGAATATTGTTTCGAGTCTTTTCCGTTAGGTTTTCAAGTTGACTGTATTTATACAGACTTCTCAAAAGCGTTTGACAGAGTGTTACATAGTATATTAATTCAAAAGCTTGCTTGCATTGGCTTTCGTTCTAGTTTTCTGCGTTGGTTGGAGTCGTACTTGTGTAACAGACGGTGTGTTGTCTCAATTGACGGGGCTACTTGTAGCCCGTTCGTTCCATCTTCTGGAGTGCCACAGGGTAGTATCTTAGGTCCACTTTTTATACTTTTCATCAATGACATTAGTAGTTGTTTTTCTTTTGCAAAATTTCTGCTTTATGCGGACGATTTAAAAGTTTTCTCTGTAATTAAAAACACATCTGATGCAATTAGGCTCCAAGATGATATTGATAAGCTTCATTTGTGGTGTCTGAAGTCACGCCTTTCCTTGAACATTAGTAAATGTTTTCAACTAACGTACTCTAAAATTTCCAATTCTCTGCTTACCAGCTATCATATATCGGCTAATGATCTAAATCGTGCAGATGAGATAAAAGATCTTGGCGTAGTGTTTGATGATCGATTTTCTTTCAATAAACACATTAGCTATGTAACTGCAAAGGTGTATTCTGTTCTAGGCTTTGTAAGACGCAATGCCTCAAAATTCTCGGATCCTTATACATTCAAGTTACTGTATTCGTCATTTGTTGGGTCACATCTCGAATATGCGGTTTTTATTTGGAGGCCGTATAATCAGAATGCTATAAACAGAGTTGAACGTGTTCAAAAAATTTTTCTCAGGTTTGCCCTTCGCTGTTTGAACTTTTCAGACCCCGTGCCGTCATATTCTTCACGTCTTATGCTTTTTAATCTCAAGTCCTTAGAAAGTCGCAGGTCTGTCTTATGACTTTCGTATACATATAATATTATTAATGGCATTGTTGATTGTCCGTTTTTGTTAGAGAGGATAAGATTTAATGTCCCCAGGCGATCCCTTAGAAATTTCCTTCCGTTTTATGGTTGTAATGTTAGAACGCAATACGCCAGCAATGCCCCGATTTATCGCGCCATTCGTGAATTTAATGCCACGAATAATGTAGACGAGGTAGACTTTTCAATCCCAAAGACAGCTTTTTTAAATCTTTTGAATTCCTATTTTTAGCTTTATGAATTATTTCTGATAGTTCTAAATTAATGTTGTACTCTTCTAGTCTGTAATGTTATTATAAAACCATAGACTAAATAAATAAATAAATATATATATAAAAAGGTCACGCGCATAACGGCATTTTTCTTTTATTATCTATCTGACTCAAATAAAATCGAAATTGTTCGGTGTTCTTAGTTCATTTAAGAATTCCAAGTTTCGAAGTAAGAGAAATAGTGTTGCTAAATTTTTCATAAAGGTTTAAAGTCAGAACGTTGCTACACTAGTGTACACTATTGGGACGCTCAAGTAAAAGAAAAAAAACGCCAAAACAAGTAAACTTAAATTTGTGTCATAGAATATGGCCCTCTTTATGTTTTTTCTAGATCAAGTGATATTCGAAAGTTATTTTTTTATGTATTGTGAATGAAAAATTTTCCAGATTTATCACTTGGTAGAATCCAAAACATAGGCTCGACTGCCAATAGGTTGTTTATTCCAAACTATTTTTTTATTTTTTTTTTCATGAGGATATAGTTTGCGAGACTTCCATATCTTTTGGCATATAAATTTTAAACTCGTTAAGTAATCGGTTACTAAAAAAAATTAATAAAAAAATTGGACTGTTCTGGTTAACGCAAATCAGAAATTCCACCAAAAAGCGATTGATTTTCTGAAAATTTAAAAAGTTGCCCTTTTGGGGATTAATTTCAATTCATAGCAAAACACATAATTTTCGTACTTTTAGAAATACTACCATTGGATTTAGCCTTCATTTGACATGCGCTGAAAATAACGACGATTTAAATATTCCACTGGACATTTTTACAGACTTTTTGTTTTTGGTTTCCATGTTCGTAATTTTCAATACGCTTGTGCGCTGGATAAAATTTTTTTTTAATCTGACTTGGCAATACAGGCTTAACAAAATAAAAAATAATATATGGGACGTTCCCAAAAATCAAATGACCATTATTTAACCCACACAAAATCGATCCAGCCTGATGTAAATACTTATCTAAATTGTATGATTTTTAAATTTCTCACTCACCTGGATCCGTTGAAACATTTATGCCTCGATCGCTGTCGTAGTTGATCATGCGGTTGTCATGATACCAAAATATAAACTCTGACGCCTCCGTATTTTGCACAACACGACATTGCAGGCGCAGTGTAGAGCCAGGCGTCAAATATCGTATTGGCGGGCCTGTAATTTCGGCGCGTGCTTCTAAGCGAATTGAATGGATAAAAACGCGAGGCGGCAAAGGCAGTCCAGTCGCCAATTGCAGAGGCCATGTAATGCGCGATAGAGCGACGCGGCAAAATCGCAGAATTGCATTTGTTGATTAAAGTGCAATTGTTGTTGTTGTTTTTGTAGTTGCATCAAATCAAATGCATATAGTTTGGAATATGGCAATGATGCGACGACGGAAAAGCCATGAAATTAAATCGAAAATACATTTGGCGAAAATTAGTAATCGAAAGCAATTAGAAAGAAAATGTATGTATGTATGCATGTGCAGATATGTGATTGCATGTATTGTTTGCGTTTGGTTTGCCTGTTTTTGCCTACTTTCGTGCGTGTAGCTTTGATTTGCATTATTCGCGCGATTGACATGCGTAGCTATCCGTTGGTGCTGCTAAGCGCCAAATGCAAAAGTGAAATTGAGTTCACACTGATTGCTGCCGCTACCGGTCACCGCAAATACGCAAACACAAATGCGCCAACCGTACGCTACGCTAATACTATTAATCTGACTTTTTCCTGCGCGGAAACTAGCAAATACAAACAAAACAACCGTACTTCCGACCAGTTTAATCCGCTTAGCTAAGTCGCCCATTTATTTATACGCACCACAAAACTTGATTTTGGTGCTTTTATTGTCTGTTTTTTTTCATTTACCATTTCCCACCGCCATCGCGGATTCAATTATGTTAAATGTGATTTCTGATTTGGCATCATTTGATTTAATTGAGTGTGCAAAGTGACTTTTGATGCCATTGGTGGAGAGAAAATTTATGGAATCAGTATAAAACACGAATTTGTTTGCGTATCGTCATAAAAAAAATATACAAAAAATATAACTTTTAATTAAGCAATAAACATATTCTTACATTGACTTCATTAGTTTTATAACTGCATAGAAATAGTGTTTTAATTTTTCAATTAACTCTAATTACCACGTACTCTTAAAATATTATTATCGAATTTCAAATTTTAATATCTAGCCAATTGCATAGGATTACATACAATTAATTATCTTTTAAATACTAGATACTATAAAAGAGATGATGCTTAAATGGGCTTATCATTGAAACTTTATCATTGAGTAATAATTAGAATTCAAGTGCGTGTTTTTCTTAACAAATGCTGGCTTATTGAAATTTTTTTGACATCATATGTATTAAAACCAACACGCGGATATTAAATTTTTGTTCAAATTGCTCTGTAAATATCGTTAGAATAAAATTATCCAGAGACCGTAACAGTTACAACTTTTATTAAGAAATCGCTCTTTAACGATTATTTTTTTACTTTTATTTAATTACTCCTTAAATAACCGTTATTTCTGACTATTATTTCATAAATCCAAAATAACAATAATTTTTGATTGTTATCCCGATAATCTGCCAATAACAGTTATTTTTGATTTTTAAATTATATGTCTTAGATAACAGTTATCGAAGGCTTTTTTTTTATAAAAGTCATAATTAGAACTCAGTTACTGGCCGAAAAACGGTAATGACTTTTAAACGAATGATTTAAAATATAAAAGTCTGTGACAGATTTATATTGATGACTTTTATATTTAAAAGTTTTCAATAACTGTTATCTAAAACATATAATGTAAAACCAAAAACAATTGATATTTTGGATTTATAATATAAAAATCAAAAATAATTGTTATTTTTTTAATGTTGCATAAAAATTCCAAATAAAAATTTATTTCCAAATTTGAGTCTCGGTTAAAAAAAAAATCGATTGGTATATATCACTTAGTGTTGGAACAATTCCTTCATAGTGAATTTTTACATGACAATTTTTATCAATAACTATTATGTTCGGTCTCTGAAATTATCTGATAGTTTTTTTTCTTGGATCTTAAAAGTAAAAGTATACATGGAAAATATACTGTTGTTTAGCCCTTCCTCGGACGGCAACTGGTCTGTAAGGCATATCCAGCACATTTTGTTTTATCTCGCCATGCTATTTAATACCGTTAACTTTGCTTACGCTCAGTAGCTGCCTGTTTAGAAGTGTTCTATACAAAAAAAAAACACTCAGTTTTTGTTTGACCCTCACAACGAGAAACTACACAGAGTTTGATCTGAGAAGCTCATTGCTCACATATATTAAAGTAAGTATTTTTATACCCGAGCGCACTTGTGCACAAAGTTATTATAACTTTAAATAAAAAAATTAAAAATAAAGGAATTAAGAAAGAACTATCAAGTAACAAGCATTCCTGTCTAAGCCTTAATTAAATTATTTTATCAAAATATTATTGTTCATACATTTAAATTTTTACTGTTAGTTAGCATACAAATTTATGTTAAAATATAGAGGCTCAAAAAAGACAAAATATTTCTTGCTTTTTTTTAGACAATATAACTAAAAAGTGGGAAAATACATAGTAACTTTAAACCAAACCGTAAATAAAACAGAAAAAATAATCACAAAATCACCAACTCATATGCTCGTGCAGCCGCTGTGCCATTAAGTGCACTAAAAAAATGAGCTCAAGGACGCGTCACTGGCGTCGTATGGCAATATGGTGTAGCACTTGCCTGCACGGCCACCCACGCATAAGCTCACACTCCTACACAAAAACATATGTATGTATGTACATATGACAGCATGTATGTAAATATAATCGCCACATTAAGTGTGTTTGTAAAAAGAGTAATTTGTGGCCATGAGCGCGCTGCCAACCGAAGAGATGAAGTGCATTGGCAGTAGGGTTAAATGTTGGCGCTGGTAGAGCAGAGAGTTTTATATTTGAGTTGGCTATGAAATTCCCATCGCCATTTAAATGCATATTTAAATTTGTAATAAATCTCTTCGCGCTTTTTGCAAATGTGTAAATTATATCTATGGTTGCTCATTAAAACATTTCCTATTCGCTATTTGTAGAAAATATACAAATTCAAATTTATTGTTATTACGATTTTATTTTGCACATGGTTGCATTAGCAACATTAATGGCCTAAATTAAATGCGCACAATAATTCTACTAAGCAATGTGGCCTCATAAATATATGTATGTACTTGTATTTCATTGCCAAACAAACAAAAATGTGAATACAAGCATACATGAGCCATTCTTTTTCATATCGGACACCAAATTTGGTGTCACACCTTCGATTCGCCTTAAAACATTTTTTTATGGGCTCTACACTCTTACATTTGCCACTTTAATTAGAGCACAATTAATTTAAATTCGACTTTTAAAACAGATGGCAACGTTCTCTAAATTAGTTTACAGCTAAAATCTTATTAAACCCCTTCTTTCTGACACCCATATATTGATACATATTCCAATGCTCTAATTCCATTAATTCAAGTAGAATTTGATTTTTCAAACAGGTCAGGTGGCTACCGTATATAGTTTAGAACTAAAACCATTTTCAAAAACATTTCGATTGACACCCATATTGCAGTAATTCATTTAAATTAATTGAATGCAATTTTTTATCGGGTGGCAACCCTAGTAAAACACCTCAATAATATTCTAAATGTTCAATCTGAAGGTTTCTTTCTTTGACAACCATATTCTAATTTTTCAAATAGCTTGCGAATAATTAATTTAAGTTTGACTATACAAACAGGTGGTAACCCTTTTCAAAATATTATGAAACTGCAATTTATTTAGGCCTGCCAATGTTAAGTAAAAATTTTCAAACAAATAGGTAACTTAATTCAAGCAGAATTTTATTTTTTAAACAGGTGGCAGCCCTCCTCCATGAACGTGGAATTGATTTTATATATCTCCATATCATTTTTTTTTAGACGATGTTAAAATGAAGTCCTTATGGTGAGCAGAAGAGATATAACGATTTGAAGAAGTAGGTACATGATTAGTCAGAATCACGAAAAAATCCAAACTTTGACAGATCATATCTCCGAAGAAAGAAAGGAAAAACAATTTACTCCAATATGTGTAAGCTTATATTATTTATAGAACCTATAAAAAAAATTTGGTGCAAATCTGAGACATAATATAATTTTTTTTTACGAAATCCGTCCGACTTAAAAAAGGATGCTGCCCGGTGTGCACATTAGAATGTGTCCTGTTACAGGCAAAAAAAAAAAAAATTTCGCCTTATACCTTCGAATCTAAATAGTTTAGTGAGGCAATTTTGAAAGAAAAAACTACATTTGGCCGAACCGAGGGGTCACCTTTTTTTAATAGTTCTAGAATAGGATACTTGACGTCAATAAACTTTGAAGTAAATACATAGTTATGTACATATATCATAGTTTGAGATCCGACTGTGCATTCCGAAGAAATGACGAAAAATTTACGAAGCGCGGTATCGGCCAGAAAAAATAAAAAATTTTAGAAAATTTAAAAATTTTTAGCAACTCCTTAAATTCAAGTGTGTACGGAGAATTTTTTTTTTTGTTCTGGTACAGTCTAGTCTATTTGCGTTTCATAGTGTATTTGCGTTGGTGTGTACGTGCGTGTGTCAGCATGGTGAATATAATGAATATGCGATTACGCCACAAAGTATGCCAAACAAACAAATAGTGTATATGCACTTTACTTTTGTTGTTGCAAGCGTGCATTTGTATAGTTAGCTGTGTGTTGATCGCAAATAAAAACACACCTGCAACAGCGGGCTGGCGAAACATGGCAACACATTAGCATTTTATGCGCTTACAAATTAAATTTTCGTTAATGAAGCGCATTCAAAATAGCATTGTTTTTTGGATGCTATTGTTTTAAATAATTTGCAATTAAGCGCAAAATGCAGTTAAGTAGTGCATGCAACGGTCGAAGCTAGAGTACTTTCTAAATAAATATTAAAAGCCTTAGTTAAAATTTTCAATGATTTAACGGTAATATTCTTTTACACAATAATTTTGTTAGGTTATTGTAAATTGCATTCAGTATTATAACAATGAGCTACCGAAGCTTTAAATGAACGTGTGTGTGTGTGTGTGAAAAACTTTATTTTCACTTTTTTTTACCATGTCGTGATTTGCCCTCCACCTTGCAAAATCTATACAAATATATACATTGGATGTCCGTCCAGATAGCTGTTGCATGGTTTCACTAATACCTATACGTAGATACATATATGTACATATGTACATATGTATGTATGCTTAAATGCACATTTATAAATATTTAAGTGAATTGTATAAATCAGTTATTTGTTTACAAGGGATTTCATTTCATTTTATAACTAAGCTTATTTTAGTTTATAATTTAAAATATTCGCACATTTATAGCAAATGTATAAGCTAATGATTTTTACGTTGTTCATCATTCATATGTATGAATATTGCGAGGATATCGAGAGGAATACATTCGTAGCGAAAAGATATTTGTTCTGGCGTTTATTCGTCCAGCTCACAGAAATCTCTGCTTTGAAAGGATGGGTTAGCTATCCGCTGATACCAATTGTATTAAGTTCAGATTAGATACTTATATCAGCCCAATTTTTCGTTCTCGTGGTTACAAATATTTGAAATGAGGCTACGAATAGTAGTCCAGTAGATTTGCCAGTTTGATAAGAAAATTATTTCCTTTTCAGAGCGTGATCGCTCAGGTTGAATGGCCTGTTGTTTTGTGGGATTTTGTCAATGTCTTTTAAGAAAAAAAAAAAACTGAGGCTAATCACTTGGTAAGACGAAGAAAGGTATTCAAGATCTCATTTCTACGACAAAAACAAGATATCGACCGTGGGCTATCTGCTGGGGATTGATGTTCTGTGGAGTTTTGAGAAGACTGGGATTATATGCTTCGTTTCTCACTATTGGATATAAGAATAAATCTTGTTAGGTTCTGGCGATTTGTATGAGCTAAAGTCGAACTAGGATAATTGCACTCATTTTAAAGTGGTAACATTAGTTGCAAGGCTTTATTCTCTTTGAGTGTCGGCGCACCAAATTTAGGCCCATAATAGCCCGCTAAATACATATATAGCCCGAAAAAGGCGTGTTCTGTATCTTCTATCGTTTTCGCTCCTGGATTTCTTTAACAGGGTGATTTTGGCAACTGTCTTTCAACTCACCACTGTCCTTTGAACGACTAATTGCAAAATCCGCTAACGCCACCAAGATTCTTAAAAACTAAATTAAATTAAACAAAAATTTACATATATATTTTTTACAATAAAAAATAAATAAATGAAAAACAATTAAAAATTAATAATTAAATGATAATGAAGCAAAAATTAATAAAATTATTTTTAAAATTAAATGAAATTAAAAAAATTAACTTATTTTTTTTATTACAATAAAACAGAGAAATTAAGTTTGAAAAAGGAAAAAATTAAATAAAAAAAGAAAATTTTGCTTGAAAATTTAAAAATAAAAATAAAATGTTCCTTAATTCAATATCTAAAAATTAATTAAAACAAGACAAAAAAAAAATAAGATCCTCAAAAAGAAATCAAATAAAAAATTATATTTTTCTTAACAATAAAATGTAAAAATTGAAAGAAAGTGAAATCAACAAAAGAAAGGAGTTTCTAGAAATTAAATTAAACTAATAAAAATTTAAATAAAATTTAATCAGGAAAAAAATTTATTCAAAAAGGAACAAACTAAAAAAAAAAAAAATAAAAATTAAATGAACAAAAGGAAAATAAATAAAGGATTTTCTAGAAATCAAATGAAATTAAAATATATCTTTGTTATACAAACAAAATAAAAATAAATAATAATAAAGAAAAAAATGTATTAAGAAAAACAAAATAAACTTAGCCCATAAAACATTAAAAAAACATTATTTTTCAATGAAAGTTAGATGTTATAAAAATTAAATAAAGAAAAAAAAAATTATTAAAACAGAAAAGATACATAGAATAAGAGTAAAAAAATTATTTAATGAAAAAATATATACTTTTCTGTTTAAAATAATTCTATCCACAAATTAGAATAAAATTAAATGAAAAATTATAAAAAAAATGTAATTAAAGAAAAAAAAAAAATTTCCTGCTGCTCCAGAACTCGAACTCGGATCTATCGAATTGCACTCTAGTGAGCAGAGACACTGCCATTGTGACTGTTGGAGCAACACAAGCTTAATGATATACAAGTGATTTCTCTCGAAATAAATTTTCACCACGTTAGCGTTTTCCGATTTGTGACGCGCGTCTTCCAATTACTCATAGTTTTACTTTACTCAACAGTTTTCTGATCCTAGTCCTCCGCTAAAACATCATTAGCCATTATTGGGCACATGGGACTATTACCGCCCTCCACCTTAAAGAATCAAAAGTGCACTCAATTTTTTTTTTAGTAGGATTTATAGGATTTTTCTGCAAATTTGCATGTGGTCCGACGTTGATGTCTCACTCGGGGTACGCAAGTTTATTTTTATAACCTTCTTGATTAGTTAAAGTACTCTCAACATTTCGTTTAATACTTTTTTTAATATTGATGCTTATTAGTTTTATAAACGTCTAAGTTGCCAGATTTCAATTTCATTAAAAATTAGGTTATAGAGCTTTTAGCCAATTTACCAATTTTATTATTCAATAAGCTTGGATAAGAGTATGTACTCAACGATAAATCTTCTTTACGTAGTAATACAAAATAAACATGCAACCTTCATACTCAGTAGACAACTTATTTATAGAGTGTTACGTAGCATTAAGCTTCACACGTTCGCCTTTCTGACGACTCCCCACTCCCCATTGTTGAATCAGAATTTTTGCAGTAAACTTAATTCAGCAGCGAGCACCATATATCTACTGACTGAAACGTGCTGATGATTTTGCTCTTTCACTTTATCTCTACTTGTTATTTCCTTTGCTTGGTCACAAATCTAAAATAGCTGTCTTCACGCACTACTAAGAAGTAGCAGTGCGCAGTAGGAGTAGCAGCAGCAGAGCAGACAATCAACTAAATTTGATGCAATCAATTGCTGCACACACATACCAATCGCAGCTCTTCACGATATACAGAATTGCAATATATTCATGCATAGACATACATATATACCAACAAACTAGCACGCCTACAACTTTACATACTGGTATATATTTGTATGTATGCATGTACCTACATACATACAATACATATTGGCGATACTCACCGACAACATTCAAATGCAGAAATATCGATGTGGGCGGATGGGTTGACACTTGGCACTCGTAGACGCCAGCATCACGTAGTTGCACGAATTTTATTTGCAGCGTCCAATCCTGTGGCATGCCACATCACGATTCAATTGGACAATCGAGTGTTGGAGCGAGGCAATGCAGTAGCGCAATGGCAGGACGAAGTTTCCGATTGTGGATCATTGATTCAAGCATGAAAAGAGGCAAAAATGTGAAAGGGTTTGAAAAAAAGTTGTAAAAAATATATATGTATGTGCGTTATGTTTATTTTTTTTCTGTTGGATAAAAAGTTACACACAATCAGTGGCAATGGATTTTTGGTGTGGCTAGTGTTGCGCGAGTCTCTAACAAACTAATGCACTTTACTTGCACAATGCAGAAAACTTCAAATTAGAAAAAAAGTATGACGAAAAAAGTGTTGACTATAAGCTACTAGCGTACACTCTGGAATAGCGGCTAGAGAAAAAATTCAGTGACAAAAAAAAAGTCGACAGAAAAAAGAAAACATCGATTTTTCAACATTAATTCGCCGAGATTTTCGTGCGCTTTTTCCAGTTTTTTCAAGCTTTTTTTTTGGCGGATTTAGCTGGCATTTCCCCAACAAAGTGTCAACGTGGCGTAAATTGTCACACACACTTATATACAAACACGCGCACACACGCGCCAGCAGGCAGTCGCGGATATACTTATGCGGCTTGTCACATTTGTGATGCCTGATTGCTGCTGCTGTTTTGTAATTTTCCCTTTTTGCACCTCCCTGCCCACACCCCACCACCCCACTAGGCTTTAGGTGATTTTCGCGTTTGGTGTGCGCGACTTTTTCGTAATGTCAGTCACGTTTCATTGCTGGCTGCGGCCAACGGTGCTGACCACATGTGCAACATGCAACATTTATTGCGCTCGTGATGCAATTCCACATCACTCACAAATGCACGCGTGTGGCAAGTGTTGCACGTATGCGTGAATCCGGTTCAGCGGATGAATTTAGTAATTCTAGATATGTATATGTACATTAGACATATGCATCTTTTTAAGTTAGATATTCCTATGAGGAGAGGATGAGGAGTGATGATGAGAAAAATAACGTGTCTGTCGAAATTCGCTAAAAAAATCGCGAATTTTTTGCGACTATTGCTTTTTTCTACTCCTACCTCAAAAATTTTGTGGAAAACACCTAAAAAAATCTCCTTGAAAATTTTAACCCTTAATTTTAACATTAAGTACTCGCCCAAGGCGTGCAAAGATTTCCCAATAAAATACACGTAAACTTTGAGTTTTTTCTTAAAATGTTAAATGTCAGTCAATGAAGGGTTTTCTTCAGAATTGAATGCTCTACAAAAGTGTCCATTGCGGTTTAATCCTAACTCCCATCAGCGAGGTAGTACGGGTCATTAAACCCAATTTTTCCACGAAATTCTCGTTTTGTGCCCATATCTCAAAAATAACAAGAGCTACAGAAAAATATAAATGACAAACTTGTAGGACTTTCAATTTCCTACAAAAAATGGCTAACATCGATATTTCGTGAGATATTGGCTTTGAAGTTGATCAACAATTTCTACAATTTAGCTTAAGTCCATGAAAATTCCACACTACCTCAAATTCCAGCTCTGTCAGAATTGGGAAGGACCTCACTGAACCGTTTGATATCAAACGGGGTTTCAGATAAGCTGATTCCCTTTCGTGTGATTTCTTTAATCTGATTTTGGAGATCAGAAAGCCGACGGCATTGACATTATCGGTAAAAATGCTTGTTCCGCCTTCTCGGGATTAGATAGAAAAGCAAAGCGCATTTTCTGGTGGGTATGTTATTTGAATGGACAGAAACGAACCAGCGCTAAAAGTAGTCAACGCGGGTCGCGATGCTGACAACAGAGGAAAAGGAAAGCGGACCTACTCTACGTTGGAAAGACCACGCGGAGAAGGGCTTGGATTCACTTGGAATTTCCAATTGGCACAAAAGAGAAACGACGGGGGTGCTATTTTGGACTCGGCCAAATCGCTTAGGTGGCTACCGTGCCAATAATGAAGAATAACAGAACAAATTTTTTTCTCGGACTTCACTACGGCAGCATTTTTTAGCAAAACACATTAATTTTGTGGGTTTTTCGTCACCGACCAGTCCTCTCGTCAATGTTATATTTATTTTTGGAAAAAGGACATAGGCCTAACGTACATATGTACATACATATGTATAACACCAATAATCTTATATGGTATTATCTATGTAGGTGTACGCCGACACCTCTACTATTTAGTTCATTTTCGAAAATAAATAGTTCTTTACTGTAGTGCTCACATTTTCAACATTACTTAATCAAAGACAACGCTATTAATATTTTTAAAAATCTAGTAAAATGTAGATGCGCAGTGAAGTACGAAACCTAACATTTGCAGTGCATGGCCGGGCTACCTCCTTTGTTTCGTATACTGTAGCTTCTAAAAAATGTTAGTATACAAATTTGCAATACATAATTTCAAAATAAGACTTTCTTCTTTTAAAAAAAGAAATCTACAGAGCAAATATTGTTAGGAAAAACATATTCTGCCGAAAGTTACAATATATTCTAATTTTTTTTTTTAATTTTTGTCCTAAAATTGCAACGCCCTGTTCAAAGAGATTCTTCAATTACAAAAAAAAAAAGTTGCGAAACAAATAATATTAACGAAGGCATATTCTATCGAAATCGACAATAAAATCTGCGTTTTTTTAACATTAGTCCTAAATTTGCCACGCTCGTTTTAAGCCCTCAAACAAACATCTTCGCATACAAACATTTTTGCCGCAGGGGTGCTCTACCGAAATCCCCAATAAAATATATATTTTTGCAACTACATGCACAATTTTTAATAACTTGCTACGTATTACGTAGTATAAATTAAAAAACGTTTATTAATTTAAAGTTTTATTAATTGATTTTACCTCTGAATGTTTTAAATGTGTGGCGCTAAACCGCTCATCGCTGCTATAGGTGGTCAACCCCACAGTCAGTAGATGATAATCTTTTTTGCGTATCCAAGAAACCTGAAATAAAAGAGAATAACCAGTTTTTATAAAAAATATAAAAGCCTTAATTGAACGTAGTAATTTAAATAATTATACAGGTAGTTAATATATCCGAAACCTATTTTATAACCAAACACACGATACATAATTTAACACACTGATGGTTTATTGATTAAAGGTAGTATCTGGATAAGTGTATTTGAACTCAAGTTTCATAACTATTTCATACAAAAAAGCTGGTTTTAGACAGATATATAAACTTTTTTCTCCATATCAAGCGCATTAACCGGAACAAGAACACCTCGATATTTACCCGTAAGCGAGCGACTAATCAGGTCCTTAGGTCCCGTAGGGTAATATCAAAACTCAAACTTAGTGAATATTCTGAAAACCCTTAGCCTGAAAACGTGTTTGAAATGAGATAATCGATTAAATTAGCGTCAATACTTTACGTCGGCCTAAAACACTTCTGTGGCACATGAAAGGGAGCACTCCCGATCTTGGCTAAATTAGAGGAAGAAGCGCGCAGAAATCTATACTGGGGTAACCAACCCGGTCTAGGCATTAAGAGGCTCTCATTTGAATACAGATAATTAAGAAAAATAAGTTGTTTTAAGCGTTGAAGGGAAACAAAACGAAATAACCCCTGCAATGCACAAAGAGTCTATGCATTTTGCGACACACATCCCCGCCGCTTTCGTTTTTATTTTAATCTTATCGATATTTTATCAACTTATGCTTCTGTCTGCAGCTTCTTTTCTTTGCTATTTACTTTTGTGTGTTACACGAGCTTCAACAATCAATCATAGACATTCACCCATGCTTTTTAATTTCTAATAGCAAACATTTTTCTTTGTGTTAAGTCAGAATAAATATGGATTTGTTTAGATTGTACTTGCATGAGTAAAAATGTTAGTTTGTAATTTAGCAAAAGAGTAAAATGAGCTTATAATTGGGACAAGACTAAAAAAAACCTATATTTACATGCCAACTTTAACAAAATTGCAAAATTGATTGAAGTTAGCGTTGAAGATTAAGTTAAATATTATATATTGACACAGAAAGGGATGGTTCCAAATAGCGATAAAAAATCACGATTTTACCAAAGAAAAGTAAATCTGAATACTAAACTTGCAGGCAAACCTCACGTTCAGTATAAAACCACCAAAACTTTGGCGGTATATTGGTGATGAAAACAAGCTCTTTGGAAAAACACGGGGTCAGTCACAAAAGAGTATCCTCTGAATCTAAACCTCAACGATTAGACCCATTGTGGAGCAGACTCTTCATCAATAGCGCGGGAAATCTGCTTACCGAGCTTCAAAAACGATCGGCGTGGGCTGTACGAGAGCCGAAGAGGAAATACAAGTCTCAAAGTTAGTTTTATAAATAAAAGTCTTCAATAACTGTTATCTAAGACATATAATAAAAAAAATTTAAAATTACTGTTACTTACAGATTATTTAGACAAAAATCAAACATAATTGTTATTTTGGATTTGTAAAATAAAAATCAATGTAGTTGTTATTTTTTCATTTTCCTTACAAATTACAAATAAAAATTTATTTTCAAATTTGTTTCTCGGTGAAAAAATAAACAGATTGGTATGTATCACTTAGTTGTAGAACATTTCCTTCATAGTGAATTTTTCAATGATAGTTTTTACCAATAACCGTTATGTTAGGTCCCTGATTTAAGTAGGTATATACATTTTCTAGGTTTAAATTTTTTTAAATCTTATCAAGTTCGCTGTTGGTGTTGTTGTTACATCAACATTCTACATAGTTTTTTGCTATTTAGCTGGAGTGACGGTTCTTCGCCAGGCATGGATTAATGTCGTTGCGATTAGGCAAAGTCGCTTGTGGCTCATTTTTGATATATGTTATTGATGTAACTATCCAAAAATTTATCGATATGTTTGCCTAAAAATAGTTGATATACTTTCTTAAATAGTTGTCCATTTATTTATCAAAGTTGTTATCGATAAATACATATACATGCAAGCAGTCGCGCTCACGATACCAGTGCTTTATTGAGCTTTGCGTTGTACCAGCATAATTTTAGTCATATTTGCTCCTTTACTCCTACTGATATTGCTGTTGTTTAGGCAATTTCTTTTTTAAGTTTCTTTGACTGCATTTTCTTCATAAAAAAATAAAAAATCACATGAATTTTTTGCTCGATTGTTGTAGTAATCTTTGATCGCAAAAATGCCCAACTGCTTCTGCAAATAACGTTCACAGTTAAATCAGCAGATGGGGCCTAATACTCTTGCGACCATTAATCATCGAATTCAGGCCAATAAAACAGCGTGTCCTAACACACACAACTTGCTGTTATACAGTGCGTATACGTAACAGCCGGGTGGCACGTGTAAAAAGCGACAGTTTTAACACAACACGCATATGCATGTGCGGAAGCCATTGTTCGCGCGAATGTTTACACATATGTACATATGTATATGTGTGAAAACATATTTATAAAATATTGATATTTCCCAATTATCCCATCTCACTGTTGAGTTCTGGTACATTTTTGGAAAAGGGAAAGAAAAAAAAACAAAGTGTAGGTACCCTTAACTCGTAGGCAAACAAAACTATACTAATGAAGGAAAAATGCTTATAGAAACTGCACAGTTGCCAGCGTCATTAGATTACATGGACATTGGGGTACACGTGCAGGTAAAATCACTAGCCAAGTTTCGATTTGTTTACATTATCCTTTACTAACTCTGTAACAAAGCTTATCCTTTTTACTTGATGCTATAATGGAAAATGTAAGTCAATATTTTTAAATAATCTCCTGCTGCTGCTTACTTGGTATTTTATTGTATTTAGGATGGTCAGTAAGTGGTTTTTGGCTAGATGTAGGCTTCATATTTCTTTTCAAAGAACTTAAATACAAAGCAGCTCCCACACCAGTATCACAATTGTGTAGTTTTCTATTATGAAGAGATTTTGTAGAACAAATAAGAGGACTACAAAGGACGTTGTTATGTATATTTTTAAAAATTCTCATTTAAATTTTAATTTATTTACTGTGTTTGCAAGCATGAATACACATTAGGGTGGTCCAAAAATGCATGAGAAAAAGTAAAGTCGCAAATGTTTATGCTCTCACCGCCTAGGATCAATAATTTCCGATCGGAAAACTTTCTTTCCTAACCATTTTTTACTTACTTAACCTTAACAATCTGGTGTTATTATTGGGAATCTCATGAAGAGAAGCAAAAAAAAAGTTGTAAATGTATGAAAAGTTGTTTTTCCCATACATGGAAAACTTTAAGCGCTTTGTGCGACCTCTAGACATTGATGTTACAATTGAAAATAATGGTATCTTTTTTTCGATATAGAACAATTTTAGGGGGTGAGAGCATTAAAATTCCGACTTTACTTATTTTAGACCACCCTAATACATACAGTACCAGCATTTTTGCATAGACACAATGGCAGTAATGGCAAGGATCTCTCATCTCAACCCAAAACAAGCACATATTTTTTATAAAATATTCATACTGCCTCAGTTCGTTCCCCATCTTATAAAGACCGTCTTCTTCTCTATTGTTGCTGGCATATTTTTTCAATAGCCCTACACGAATATTCGGCTTTTGAAAATAATTTGCTTAATGCGCATATGGTAAGCATGTGTACGTGTGTTTGAATTGTGGTGCGAAATCTTTTTGTTGAAAAAAAAAATCCCATATTTATATGTTTGAAATTTTGGTTTACTAAATGGATTGCGGCGTCATATTGTCGCCTGGCTGCTGGCCTCCGTTTAGACGCCGAAAGCAGCGCTAAGGGGCAAATTGAGCAAGTGCTAAGCCATTGAGTAATAAATAATTTCATTCATTTTCCAACATCTCACATCTCTTTGTTGTGTCTCAATTTGTATGCTTAAGGACTTGAATGGAATAAGATACGAGCATATATATATGTAAAACTTATTATGGGCACTTGCGTTTGTATGTATGTATCTCAGTATGAGACCCATGAAAAGAACCCATTTAGACTATAAAATAACATTTTTCATAATTGCTAATTCCGCCATATTGGCTTTCGAGATGCTATTCCAAAATTAATGAAGCAAGAATCCATTGCTTTAAAAATCTGTCAACCGCTTATGACCTCCGACGCTGTGGACTTCTTGCTTCTGTGACTAATAAAGGTGGCACGCTATTAGCTCTTCTATAGTAGCTTGTACATATTTAGGTATATACCTAAAAGGAACTTTAACTACTTATGTATGTTCATACTTAAGTTGAAGAGTCCCATATTCATGCACAATGAGGATTATTGAACCAAAAGTGCCTGCTGTTGAAGGGATATTGGCTATTTATTTTTTAACTGAACATCACAAAAGACAAGAACAATCCATAAATAGCTCTTTAGTATTGTCCATTCACGTAACGAAATCCTTTTATCTTCTATAAATAGTTGCTTTTATTTATGACCATGTTTCTTTGAAAAAAAGAGTAACATAGTATTTACATTCTCAAGTTGGCTATGAAAATGGTATAATCTAGTAGAATTAAATATCTATTTAAAAATATTCATTCTACAGGTAAAAATGTCCTGAATAAGAAAACGAAAGCTGTCATGGCACCTCAGTGTCGAAGAAAATCTCCGTGGAATTCTATGTATGGGAAAAGATACACCTGGGGCTCGCCGCCTTATCTTTCTCACTAAATCTTGAAGGCGATAGTCAAGCATAGAATAGGTGGACAGCATTGGAAATGAAAACATTTCTGAAGAAAGTGTATATATTAGCTATCAGTGATAGGCATGACAGGGGCACCTAGAACAACCACCACCTTTTTACATCTCTTGGCGGGGGACCTATCGTCAAAACCGGCCGCACGGCTTTATGATACGGGTCGGCTAGTGTGCAGTTCATACACTGAGCCAAAAGTACGGTTGTTTTTTCAATCAAGTTATTGTTTGGTTTTTTCATGGTCAATACACCGATTGTAAGGAATGTGATTCACGTTGAACATTTGAAAACCAACTCGTATGCCTGGC